ACCTTACGAGAAACCTTACAAACTAGGCAGCTCATGGGCGCTCGATTTCGCAGCGACTGGCCAGGTGCCGGCTTTGTTTCTGGGCATGCAGCAAGCTGAGAAGCCTGGGGAGCCTGCGAGCTGTACGCGCCTGTGATGCTGTAACGGCTGCTGTGAACAGAGGCAAGGCTTCTGCCTGCATGAGCTGCGCCGCGTCGTGCTAGGTGGGTCTCGGAGGCCGAATTGATCATCCGGAAGCTGTGGGTTCGCATGCTCAGGTACTGCTCCGTCTGCAAAGCCCCTGCTTTGCTGGCATGCTTCATACAATGACCTATAGGCCTACGGCTCAAGACTCGTTTGCTGGAGGTTGTCCTTGGAATTCGACGAAGGCTTTCTTCCAGCCCAGATCTGAGAATGCATAGAACTTGTGAGCCACGTACGGTACGCCGCTGCTTTGCCCTTGGGGCCCTTGGCCCGCTTGAGGTCCGACTCGGCAGTGCCACGGTTGGAGCCACAGCTGAGAGGATTCTCTGGGAGAGACATGCGACATGCGCACCGATAAATCCCAGAGGTGCTCTATGGGCTTCTCGGCGTGCTTTGCGAAGGTCGCCAGGCAAGCAGCTCAGAGCCACGTTGCCGATTACCAGGTGACAATCACACAACTGTTCTTCCAAGGTGCAAATCTTGCAGCAACCAGACTGGTCATAATCTGCTTCTGCTCTGGCGAAAAAGCGGAGCCCCATTATGAGTCTATGAGTCTCCTACCACATCGGCATCCAATACCAAGATTCCGTATTTGCATCTCGCCAAAAGAACTCAAGCAACTGCGACAGTGGGGACGGATGACCATGCCTCCAGTTCCCCACGCCGTCCTAGGAAATCTTCTCCAGGCAGTCTGATGTGCAGGCAATCTTGTCCCCGTCCACGGTTGAACTGGTCTTTTCTAGGGAATGCAGCTGCTGCTCCGCCGCTTGGCGCCCGGCCGCAACGGCGACTCAGGGCCGCGCTCAGGGCCCTGGTCGCAGGATCCGCTCCCGACTTTTGTCTTCGGGGCGGAATGGCTGGCATGTTACAGCTGGCAGTGATTCAACAGCGGGCGCCGTGCCTTCTCCCACAGCTGCATGGATGAAGCAGATGTTGCAGGTTCTCGAGTGCCCGAAGACCCCTCGTCACAACAGGAACCAGTCTGTTACCTTGATGTTGAGCTCTATCCTGTGAGCCGTGTTGCGAATGAGACGGGAACGGCATGGAGCTGCAGCCTACTAGTGAATTGAACATGTGGTGTGGGATGTGTTATTCGTTTCGGGGAGCAGCACATGAGTGCATGCAGAAGCGTCCCGCACTTGTCGGGAGCGGGTTGTCGCAACCTTACCCGACCGGTGGCAAGATGCAAGTCGTGCAACCCATCGCGTGATATCGTCAATGGAAATACCTCGCGTCCGTTGCCATATGCGTGACAAAGGAACAAGGCGAGAGATCATTTAGATTGGGCCTTATATCAAGAAAATCTTTGTTCTTATTATTAATATTATCGCCGGAAAGACTTGGTAATTCTATATATAAGAGAATAGGTATAAATATACGATTATCATCTTATTTTTAAAATACATTTTCGAAAATCGGTAGGCTCGATTTAATTGAAGAAGATAGAATATTTTATTTCTTTAGAAATAATAACAGAGTATCTAAATCTAAATCGATTGCTTGCAGGATAATTCATCGCAAATTTTAGAGCACGAGAAATAGTATATTTTCTTTTCTTGAATTTTACGAGAAACTTTGCTCCGAGATACAGGTTCATGAATTAATTGAAATATTTTTAGATTATATTTTAAAATTTAATTGGATATTAAAGATTCGATTTGAAATTTCTTTATTTATATAAGATATTATATTTTATTTCATAGAGTTTTTGGGATATGGTTATAAGATATATTTTTATAATATAAAAGAAATTATTATAGATATTCTTATATTTATATTTAAATCTGTTCTTATATATATATATTCATCGCATAAATAAGAAAAAAATTTCCAAATATTTTATTTGAAATATTTCGATAAATTTTTCATTTGAATAATAATAATTTCTTTTTCAAATATTTTTTTTAAATAAATATATATTTTTATATATTTCAATTAAATATTTATATATTCTTATATAAAATAGAATATATTTTATTATAATTTTTCTAAGATTTTTTTTTTGAAAATTTCTTATACTAT